TAATGTCTTCTGAGAATGTATTGATTGGGCCTTTGTTTTCAAAAGGCTGTTATGGCTTTCTGTCATGAGCTATAAGAAAATCAGTGTGTATGTTTAATAAATCACACTCTAAGAATTATGGGCCTTATCCTCTTCTCATTTACACTGGGGTTAACTGTGGGTGACTATTGAAAACAATATGGTGACATTGGTTTAAGTCACAGGGCTTCATTGTCCCCTCAGTGTTTAAAAAAACAATGTCCTTGCCTGTGTTGACAACTGTATTGTTGATTGATAAAATAAATTGTACCTTGCACTATTTATGCCTTTTTATTTATACTGTTTCCCAGGCTACAGGAAGTGCCTTAAGTCAGTATTTTTATTTACGGTTACTTTCACTCTTTCATGCACTTGTTCAGTGTGGTGATGTTTGAGCTGCAAACACTGCAGGGGAATGTTCTTAAATCCAAACACTAGCTTGGATTGAATGGGGGTGGGGGGGGGGGGGAGAGGGGGGAGCCTATTGAAATACGGCTTTGTAATTCTTTAAGCTTTTTAATTTTTTTATTTTTTACAAGAACAAATGTCTCTACTTTGTCCTTATGACAAAGTTCCATCCCTAATTAAATTAACTATTTTTATTAAACTTGATATTGGTGTCTTAGTGTATTAAATGCTTTACAAACTTAAATTTTGTGACTGAGCTATGAAACCAGACAGTGACTTTCAAATGTACCATTGTCTTCATGAATTATTGCAATACACTTTTTGTTTTATCAGTGGTTATTACTTTAATCTTACAAAGTTTTTAGCATAAAAGGCCTGCAGTATGGAATATGTTGAACATAAATGTAATGTGTTCAAGTTTAACATTTTTCTTTGGAAACTACTGTAACAGTGAAAATACTGAATCGGTGGAGTAATGATATATATTCTTCCTTCTTTTGAAAGGCTTTTGATCAGCTACCCTTAATACATGATTTTGTTAATCATGTCAAACAGTGATTTTTTTCCCCCCCGCCCCACCCCCCCCCACCCCGATCTCCATTATACCAGACTCTGTTTTTATTTTATATTATTTGTTTGTTCTTTGATCCAGACTCCTACTGATCTTTGGGAATTACATTAGATTAGAGGGATTCTGTGACATGGAATTAAACAGGCTAGCGAATACAAAAGGCAGTTAATCCGTTTTAATGAATGATTTTATGATAAGCCTAATTGCTGTGGTTTCAGACAATGTACAGCATGCATTGATATCTTTCCCACCCAATTGTAATTGTCAGCTATCTATGTTTGTCTAACTTTAAACATGTGAGTAGTCCCATTGATGGATTGAGGAAGTTGGTCTGAATCAGGAGAGAGGGTTCCTGTGGTTTTCTCCACATACTTGTTTACTTTTGGCAAAACTTATTAAAATCACATTGAGGAAAAAGCACAGTCCTATCTTAAGGCTCTGTAAGATCAAGGGGCTGCTTCATGAATTGTAACTATATCCAATCCTGCTCACACATAAAAACAGACTTAAAAAAACCCTTGGGTCGTTGACCAAACTAATAAGCTTGCAGTCTCAAAAATGAATTTTTAATAACGTGTGAAAACAGGGATGTGATAAGGGTGTTATACTAATAACTGGTTTCCAGCCTTATTGATAGTGGCTGCAACCTGCAACTGCGGCAATAAACATATGCCACATTGTCACTTTCCAGTCTATGGAGAAGTGTCAACTTTAACCTGTCTTCAGGCAGTACACAGTATAACAAGTAGAAAGAAGCAAATCTTCATTACACAAAGGGCATATCTTGCACACTGAGATGGGGATCGATACCACCATTAGTTTAATGTAGATCACCAGCAACTATGAGATTTGGTGTTTTAATTGTCCTTTTCTAGCTACAGCTTGGTCCAAAAAAAACCACCTTCCTTAAACCCTGGACAAATCTCTTCTGTATTGGATTGACACCACTCTGAAGCAATGTATTCTGCAACAGATACCTCATGTGTCATGGCTCATCAGGTTCAAGTTGATTTGGATCTGGATTGTTCACTACAATACCAATAAAATAGTATAGTTGTGTTTAGGGACACTAACTCAGGATCAAGGCCCCAGTGTGCTAGGTACTGTACGAAGTCAGTCCCTCCCTCAAAGAACTTGCAATCCAAGTGAAAATACTGTGAGATTACTAGATCCCACTATGTAATTTCTTTAGACATAGAAGATCCAGGAACAGTTTTACTTAAGGAGAAAATGTCCAGATAAAGGGTATTGCAGCTAGACATATGAATTGCTGTTTTGCAAGAGAATATCAGGGCAGCACTTCTTGCTACAGGGCATGCTATTAAATGAACTTTTGCTTTTTCTATTAGTATGAAATTTTATTAGTGTTAGTTTTTCCAGTTAGTGACATTTGATTTTTATAATAAATGAGATGGACTCTTTTATTTAAATGAACGATTCACTGGCATTCCAGCACAATGCAACGTGGTGGGTCATATGTTGCTGAAATCAATGGAGGGGGTAGTTAATACATCTAACTAAGACCAGAGTTCTGCCTCGTGAGCATGGGCCCAAATATGCATTCCTTATTCGGGCAGACCTCTCGCTGGCATCAGTGGGAGTTCTGTTTGAGTAAACACTACTGAATTGGATCCTTCATGTCTGAGTGCTAATATTTATCCTGTTTTCTGTGTATATTGTGCCCAACAAGAAAATTGTGAAAACATGAAGCAATTGAGCAAGCTGTGCGTATTGAATGCTGTGATAAGCACATTGTCTGTCCAAAATGTTGATAGTTCCCTCACTGAGTTCAAATGACAACAGTCCAGCAAAACAGTGTCTAGAATTGAAGGTCTGCTTCCTTGCAGGAGCAGGATTGGGCCCAAATGGGGAAGGAAAATACAAATGATAGATGGAGGGTTTAATTTGAATATACTAAAAAAGGCATCTTTATATATAGTGAGCAATGAAGTAAATACGCCCCAAGGAGAGGTTTTTAACAATCATAAAAATGAGATAACATACTTTCTTTTGCAGTGTGGCAGAAAACTCCTAAATTGCTTACTTTAATAATGGAAAGGGTAAATATAATGGAAGGTGTGTTTATCCATGGAAGCATGCTTTGTTAAAATCATATGTTACTTATACAAAATGCAAATTTACTTGGATTTTGTTAAGTATCAGAGGGGTAGCCATGTTAGTCTGGATCTGTAAAAAGCAATAGAGGGTCCTGTGGCACCTTTAAGACTAACAGATGTATTGGAGCATAAGCTTTCGTGGGTGAATGCCCTGATGAAGTGGGCATTCACCCACAAAAGCTTATGCTCCAATACATCTGTTAGTCTTAAGGGTGCCACAGGACCTTGGATTTTGTTGGTAACTTTGCGATTATGCTCTGGATAATGTGATAGTGTTAGCTACGATGATGATCCCAGCTGACTGAATTCAGATTTTAGTTTATATAAAAAAAAAAAACTTCCAACCAGACAACCATCACATTTTCTGCCCACGAAGTCTTAATAGTCCATCTTTATTTTTAGGATCTCCAGGGTTGGTATAGGTATAAATAACTATTCAGAGCTATAACCTTCCATTGATATCTGTCAAGCAGGGTTATTTCCCCGTCAAGCATGTCAGCACAGAAGGGAAAGAAAAAACATTTTGTATTAATGCTACTGACTTTGAGTAATAAACTGGATCTGTGATAGTTCTCACTTTCTCTATTCAAAGGACATTGTCAGGTCAACTTTTGGGCCTTCACTTCTATCTTAAAATTGCCTAGTGGTGATAAACTTTTTTTTAAATTTCACCACTTTGTCACAAAAAATAATTCCTTTATAAGGGATCTACAGGCTATATTGTTGGGGTGCTGTTGCTGGCTCTGTAGCAACAGTTGCCTAACCAACGCTATTCTGAGAGCTCTGCTGCTGAGATCCCATTGAGGATGCTAGTACATAAAGAAGTAAACCAAGACTTGATGATTACACTGTATTAGAATAGCAGGAGAGAAGCCACATAGTATCTTTAAAAAATTCCTTTTCTAAAAAGGAGGAAGACTTCTTATTTTTAAGCTGCCGCTATGTAATTTCAAATTATGGAGAATGGATTTGATGTTTGGCCCTCTGAAGTTTTTGTAGGCTTAAAGGTGACCTGCAAAATGTTCTGAGCTGGTTCACTTTTTCAGCTTATCTGCATTACTGAATAACGACTCAGTCCTGCAAGATGATCCGCTCACTTGCTCTATCAAGCAAAGCAGTTTTGTAAACATCTGGGTAGTTTTATTGATTTCAGTGGGACTGCTCACTTGCTTAAATTTTAAGCATGTGCTTAATGTCTCTACTGCACTGAGCCAGAATGCTTAGCACCTGGCAGAACTGAGTGTTTTGTGGAGGGGGACCGGGCTTCAAAAGCAAAATAAGTTACACATGCAGATATGTATGTAGTACCATTCACCAGCAGGGACTAAGTGGCTGATAGCTCAGGCATCCTTTCTCAAAGCACCTTGTGAGCCTTGATTAAAACTGCTGCCCAAAGGAATGAAGCAAACAGTTTTTCTTTGTTTTTTGTCTTGAATTTCTCAAGACTGTAAGAATGTAACTTTTGGGGTTGATCATGAAGGTAAAGTTCAAGGAATATATCTTATTTCGAATGTAACTGTCTGAACACCATTCTGTACAGCTATTTCATACTTTATCAGTAAGGATCTGATTCAGCAAAGCATATGAACACGGTTGACATTGAGTACCTGGGTAATCCCATTTCTATCCAGCAAAGCACTTAATTCTTGAAGTCAGTGGGATTTAGGCATAGGAGCAAGTGTTTATCACCAAGGATGTAAATTGATTGAAAATGTGGCTCTTTTTCAGTGTCTGTCTTGGTAAGTATTTGTAACCAAGTCTTTCTCTTACGAATAGAAAAAAAGATTTAGTAGGAAAGCAGTGAGTTATCTATGTATTAAAATGTTAATTTCTATTTAACTTTATTTCTGTTTTCTAACAGCTGGTATTGTTGCTTGATTTTGCAGACTGTCTTCTGAATTCCTGGATTTTCTCTTTCTGGAAGTTCCCCTTGCGTTCTTAATGAACCATGGACATCATTGGCTTTCTGAAGTCTCAGTTCATTTGCCACCTACTTATCTGCTACATATTTATAGTGTCGGGACTGATAATTAACTTCATTCAGCTCTTCACACTTGTCCTCTGGCCAATCAACAAGCAGCTTTTCAGGAAGATCAATTGCAGACTGGCTTACTGCATTTCAAGCCGTAAGAATCTTTTTAAAGTTTTATTTCCATATCTTGACCAATGAATTAGTTGTTAAATAACATTACTACCTATGTTTGCATATTCATGCATATAAATCCCTACATTTTGCTGTGAGACTGTGTATTGCTTAAAGTATGAGGGGTGTAGGGGTGTGTGTGTGTGTGTGTGTGTGTGTGTGTGTTTTGTTAAATCAAAATGTACTGTAAAGTATAACTTTTTCATCCACTCATATTGGGGCATTCCCTTGACACAAGATGATATAGATATTGGACTCTTATGATGAGCATCATGTTTGAGTGGCCAAAAAAGTAAATACTGACCAAGGAATGATAGAACTTAATATTTACAGAGGCATACTGTCACTGTATATAGTTGCATACCATACCATTCTAAATGGTTCTCATCCAGTATATCTTCTGATTTCTCCATTATCCTGAAGATTCATGGACACACATGACTTTTTATTTTTTAAATTGGGGTAAGTGTTCCAGATTTCAGTAGTGTTGGCATGAAAAGATGATAAATAATACTGGCTCACAACATAACTCTTACATACAGTACTAGCTTGATTTGAAACTATTGCTTTTATTCATTGAATAAACATGTCAAATTGTAGACTACTGTATCTATGCCAGGGGCATAGCCACAGGTGGATCTTGATGGGCTGCGGCCCACCCACTTAACATCCTGGCCCACCCAAATCTGAGCAGAGGTGTAGCATTGCCACAGTGGCCTGGAGCATCATTCGGGCACATGAAATCCAGGATGAAGCTATGTGCCAGGTCCTTCAGAAAGCTATGCTCCGGCCGCTCTGCCTTGCCATTTTCTGAACTGCCCCATGCGCGTGCCCATCTTGACAGGTGAAGCCCTGTGTCTGGGGGCACCAGGACTAGGGAGAGGGGGTGGTGTTGGAGAAGCTGAGCTAGCACAGTCTGTCCTTGCCTGTCCACCCGAAAGTCAGGGGCCCACCCAAATTTCCATTCCTAGCTACACCACTGATCCATGCACAGTATTTATGTAATGTAAATAATCATAAGAATGACCATACCAGGTCAGACCAATGGTCCATCTAGCCCAGTGTCCTGTCTTCTGACAATGACCAATGCCAGGTGCCCCAGAGGGAATGAACAGAACAGTAATCATTAAGTGATCCATCCCCTGTTGCCCATTCCCAGCTTCTGGCAAACAGACTAGGCCAGGGATGGTTCAGAGCTTGGTTTTGCATCCTTGCCCAACCTGGCTATCAGCCATTGATGGACCTATCCAGGGCCGGCTCCAGGCACCAGCTTAACAAGCAGGTGCATGGGGCGGCCAAGGGAGAGGGGCGGCACCTGCGGCAATTCGGGGGCGGCAGGTCCCTCACTCCCTCTAGGAGCGAAGGACCTGCCGCTGAACTGCCGCCGCCGATCCTGGCTTTTTTTTCTTTTTTCTTTTTTCTTTTTTCTTTTTTCTTTTTTCTTTTTTCTTTTTTCTTTTTTTCAATTGCCGCCGCTGATCGCGATCGCGGCTTTATTTATTTATTTTTTGCTTGAGGCAGCAGAAATGCTGGAGCCGGCCCTGGACCTATCCTCCACGAATTTATCTAGTTCTCTTTTTAAACCCTGTTATAGTCATGGCCTTCGTAATATCCGCTGGCAAAGAGTTCCACAGGCTGACTGTGCATTGTGTAAAGAAATACTTACTTTTTGTCTTTTTTTTTTTTAACCTATTGCCTATTAATGTAATTGAGTGACCCCCTAGTTCTTGAGTTATGAGAAGGAGTTATTTACTTTCTCCACGCTAGTCATGATTTTATAGACCTCTCTCGTATCCCCCCTTAGTCGCCCCTTTTCCAAGCTGAAAAGTCTCACCCAGTCTTCTTAATTTCTCCTCATATGGAAGCTGTTCCATACCCCTAATCATTTTTGTTGCCCTTTTCTTTACCTTTTCCAATTACAATATATCTTTTTTTGAGATGAGGCTACCACATCTGCATGCAGTATTCAAGATATGGCCATACCATGGATTTATATAGAGGCAATATGATATTTTCTGTCTTATCTATCCTTTTCCTAATGAATCCTAACAGAGAATACAATAGTTAGACTGCTAATCTAGCACCAAATGGGAGCTTTGTTTGAATAAGGGCTCCTGAATTTTTGCCCTCTTATTTTATTGAGGAAAATAATGTTCAGAATATTACTAACAGAAAGCTATAGGGCCAGATTCTGCCACTTACTCATGCTCAGTACTATCTTGCAGCACATCTGGTTCCTTTGACATCAGTGGGTCTAGTTTTTTTTCAATAAGATAGCACTCTGTGAGAAAAAGGGTGGCAGAATCTGGCCTTAAGTATCTATTATTGCCTGTATTTTTCTATGTTACATGGTAAAGTGTTTATGCATGTTTAATAAAAATCAAATGGCTGTGATCTCACTGGTGTAAATCAGGAACAGCTCCATAGAGATAAGAAGAATTCCATTAGTGGATAGCTCAGTGGTTTGAGCATTGGCCTGCTAAACCCAGGGTTGTGAGTTCAATCCTTGAGGGGGCCACTTTGGGATCTGGGGCAAAATCAGTACTTGGTCCTGCTAGTGAAGGCAGGGGGCTGGACTCAATGACCCTTCCAGTTCTATGAGATAGGTATATCTCAATATATTATGTTATTAAAATAACAGTTGTGATCCGAATCAGCCCAAAAGCTTAATTTTAAAGGAGAAACAATGTAACCTGCCCATTTTCAATAGCAGCCTATGGACTGTAGAATACTAATGTGTTCCCAGCTGTCACTGTTTCTAAAATCATTGGACTAAATCCATGTTCAGTTTTTACCCAGTCCTTGCTCAGCTAAAATTTCCATTAACTTCAGTGAGTAAGGACTTAAGGATTTGGCCCATTGCTGTTGGATCACATGGAGCCATAAATATGTGTCATGTGGTGATGAAGCCTGCTGTCAGCCAGGCTGGCTTTTAGGAATTGTTATAAGTCCATGCCTTGTGAAGTACATGAAAGATATCCGCATAAAACTGTTGAAGTGCTCTAATGGCACTGTGCTGAGTCCTTAACATTTAGTTATAGAAGAGAGAATGTCATAATTATATCAGAAAACTGCCTTAACATGAGCTCCAAGAATTGCATAGCAGTTAAGTGCAGTAAAACGGGCTTGCTGAAAACAATGTTTCAGTTTATCTATCCAGTACTAAGAACCTAAGACCGGAAAAGGCTTGATCCTGCCCATCAGTGCCTGATGAATCACTGTGCATTTTGGAAAATCAGCTATACTTATCTGCTCAAAAGCAGCTGCTGCTTTTTCCAAAACACATGACACCTGTTGCTTGTTGGGAGACAAAATGGAGTTCCTCTTCCCTCCCTCTCAACTGTCCACAGAGTAACCATGGTCTTTTAAACTGATAACACTGTCATTTTGAATGGACTATTTCATTTTACACCTGAGAGCTAGAACCTGTATGCAGCTCTGTGACCAACCTTGGGCATGTTGTAGAGGAGACTGTCTTGAGCTCTGATGCATGGAGAGTGAGGTAGATATCAGTTTGCTCAGTGCCTCTTGAAGATGTGTTTAAGGGCTGAGACATTAGTGTCTGTTTACTGGAAGGCACTTGGTGGAAGATGAGCTGTCATAACTATAAAGGGAAGGGTAACAGCTCTCTGTGTACAGAGACTCCAAATCCTTTTACCTGTAAAGGGTTAAGAAGCTCGGGTAACCTGGCTGACACCTGACCCCAAGGACCAATAAGGAGACAAGATACTTTCAAATCTTGGGGGGGGGGGAAAGGCTTTTGTGTGTGCTCTTTGTTTTAAGGGGTGGTTCGCTCTTGGGACTGAGAGGGACCAGACATCAATCCAGGTTCTCCCCATCTTTCTAAACAAGTCTCTCCTATTTCAAACTAGTAAGTAAAAGACAGGCAAGGCGTCTTAGATTTACTTTGTTTTCTCAACTTGTAAATGTACCTTTTTACCAGAGTGTGTATCTTTGTTTGCTGTACTTTGAACCTAAGACAGAGGGGGGTCCTCTGAGCTTTTTAAGTTTGATTACCCTGTAAAGTATTTTCATACTAATTTTACAGAGATGATTTTTACCTTTTTCTTTAATTAAAAGCCTTCTTTTTTAAGAACCAGATTGATTTCTCCTTGTTTTAAGATCCAAGGGGGTTTGGATCTGTGTTCACCAGGGAATTGGTGAAAGGTTTCTCAAGGCTTCCCAGGGAGGGAATTCTTGTGATGGTGGCAGCGGACCAAAGCTAAGCTGGTAGATAAGCTTAGAAGTTTTTATGCAGGCCCCTACATTTGTACCCTAAGGTTCAAAGTGGGGATCAGCCTTGACATGAGCATAGGAATGATTTAGTTGGGAGGGGTCCAGTGGGAAATGACTCTCAGAATAAAGAGAGAGGGAGCCCCCTAGAATCTCATGAATCCGTCATTGGATCAGGGAAAGCTCTAAAGAAAAGACCTTTGATGTCTGATAGTTTCCCCTCACAGCGCTGTCACCAGGCCCATTCCACCCCAAACCCCAAGTTCACTTTGTTTTCTAGATACTAGTAGGGATAGACTTTTGGGGTGTGGGGTTTTTTTTTACATGGTTTTAATGTCTCCAGGGTCTAAAGCATATATATACACACACACACACACACACACACACACACACACACACACACACACACACACACACACACACACATATATATTTTTAAACAAGAATAGTTGCAAAGAGACGCTTACCTCTGAGCAGCTGGGTGCAATACCACAGTGTCCCCTGCAGGCTGCCAGGTGGTTTTGGTGAGTTAAGTGTCTTGGCCCTTGAGCCAAGTCAAAAAGTCCAAGTGAACCTCTTCCAGGGTGTTAGACTGTTTATTGGACTCTATTTTCCGTCGCTAGAATCTTCAGCCCTGGCTCTAGGCCCTTTAAATTCAGTCCTTTGTTCGGGCTCCCAGATAAGCCATGTCTCCTTTATTGAGGTTTATGTCCCTTTACCTGTGGCTGGTAGGGGAACCTGGACTTGTCA